CAGTGTAAGGCAACCAGAACGCTCGGCCAGATGAAAGTGACGGTTTTAGTGTCTCTGTTTAGCAGACTAATCCTGCTTCAATAATTATCGGCGCTATCGCAAGATACGGGGCATTCTGGTCGCAACGCATCCAAAACCGCGAGAAATCTGTCCTTTTTTCGAAACTGAACCATGTCTTAGGCGGTACGGGAGACTCTAGGGTACGTGAGCGCTCTATTTTCCCCGAAGTTCCTGCCACCTAATAGGTCTGGACGGCGCTCTTGTCCTTAGGGGGGACATTCAACAACAGAACTTCCGAAAACCGCTGCAGGACTGAGCCCAGGATTGGGAATAAACACCAGGGAGAACAATTGTTGCTCACATCCTTTCCCAGAATCCTGTCTCCTCCCTAAGGCTTAGTCCCGAGCTCTATAGTGGTCCACTCACTTCAATGTCCCCCCTAAGGACATGAGCGCCCTCTGGACTATGCCCCTATATCTTGCGTTAGCGCCTCAGTACCTTCTATTTCACCAGGCGAGGCTGTACGCAAGCCCCATTCTAACGTGATGAGCACATTGCTTAATCCTTAGTTCATCTGAGCCTCAAATCTTTCGTTCTCGAGATGGTGTTCAGACTGCTGAAGGAACAATAACACGATTGTAATCAGCTGCCTTCGAGGTCATTTGTAGCCCCATATTCATCAGTGCAACTACACTTTGCAGAGCTGGAGGATTTATCACCTTTTTGCTCCACGTGTCTTGTAGTGTAATAAAATTTTTATCCATTTGTATAATCCGTGTACATGATGGTACACCCTCCCTCTTCACCCACCTCCCCCCACATGAACTGTTATAGCCCTGAAAGATATTCAGTAAGGCGACCTGTTTATTTTATTATTTATTTATTTATTTATTTATTTATTTATTTATTTATTTATTTATTTATTTATTTATTTATTTATTTATTTATTTATTTATTTATTTATTTATTTATTTATTTGACGCACGCGTAGGTGCGCTATTCCATACAACAGAGTACACTTATACAAAAAAAGTTTGATCCAACCGTTTCTCTATGTTTCTGACGCTCACTTACTTTCTGGTTGGCGCTCCACTCTACACCATAAGCTATTAATTTTTTAATTAATTTTTTAATTATCCGGTGACCTGGTGCGTGTGCACTGCAGACATAGCAACACATGTGACGGCGGCCTACACAAAATGTATTGGTTTTCTGCCAACTAAATGATTAGCGGATTGCACATGTATTCTATTAACTGCCACTAATTAAAACTATCCTTGATGCTGTCAGCTGCTATTATAAGCTATTGCTTAGCAGCTTTTTTGGAAGCTGTCGTCGCTTGTGTTGTAAAGTCTGCAGTGCACACGCACTAACTGGATACAAAGGGTAAGTTGTTGATTGACTGGTCTTGCAAGAATCACCATGGTAAGGTTCAAATAAGGAAGGGTAATTCTGCCTTTGGCTGCGGTAAATACAGGCCAAATTAAATTTTAAACTACTGTTCCTAATTTTTAACTCCTGTTTTTGGTCGCAGTTACCATGAAAAGCTGAGTTGGAATGAAATGGTGCCCCGGTAGCGTAACTGGTAGCGCACTTGCCCGGAAAGCGAGAGGTGCGGGTTCTAGTCCCGCCTGGGGCGAAAGTTTTGTTCACAACCCAGCATTCTTGTGAAACATATTCAAAATACATAAAAAAAATAGTTCCTCTGAGATAGCTTCCCTCTTTAACATTACACTAAAAATGGGACTGGAAAGAGTGCGAGTAAGAATCAGAAACTCGGACGAGGAGAGCACGAGGGAGGACAGAGATGAGGGAGACGCAGGAATGGCGGGGGCTTCCAAAAGATGGGCACGCCATTGTTTCAGGCCTCATATCGTCATTCTCAGGCCTCCTTCAACGGCGCTGATGATATCTCTCCCCTCCTCCAGCACGACAGTACCTGTGAAGTGTGCCTTTAGAGGTGAATCGGTGATATGCAATAATCCGGACGATCCATTTTACGACTGACACCGCTTTTACTCGATCCTAATATAACATATCCTGCTGTTTTATCAAGGCCTTATATGGGAGTCATAAGTTCCTAGCTAGTGATTTGTGCAAGAGCAGACAGAACAACACTTCAGACGACAACGCCTTCTATCGTCAAGTCTGAACGACTGCCCACTTCTTGGAAATCTGCTTGAAAGTCCCAGATTTCTTCTTCTCCCACCCCGAAATGCATGGAAGCCGACGTTAAGGAAAGATGATTCCACTGACATTCGAGGCCGACCCATTGATGGAGACTGGCGGTGTTTTCCTTTCACCTATCAATTTCATTCGGCGGAAAGTGAGGAAAAAGCGATTCGGGTAGGATGGCTGGAGACCCGAGTTAATCATGCATACTTCCCTAACCATTCATCAAAACAAAACGTTTCCTGGTCCGGGTAGACGAAGCAGAAAACACTCACAATGGGCGTGGCATACGACTTTTCATAATTGCATGATACTTCTCAAGCGGCTCAGTCAGCTGTGAACGCTGGACTCCGACCGACCATCAGGGTCAGCTCACTTCTTATTGCTAACCTTGTTACCCTAACCCTACCTTAACCTATGTTCAGCAAACCCCGCAAGCCATTGCATACGCTAGGTCCTATCAAATTATGCTGTTGTTTTGGATGAGGCTGAAATTCATGGCGCATCTCAGTAGGCAATCGATCGGAACTGAGTCCTCATTTCTTGGTTACTTTACCTTTTACCCTCTGTTTACCTTCTACCCTCTGTTTACCTTCTACCCTTGCTCCATTACGCTCCAAAAAACAGACCTTTCCCAGCTCATCTCATCATCAGCTAATAACTTCACTGTTTATGTGCCCATAGCACTTCTACCCTCCAACGAGCGCTCAAAGGTTGTTATTCTGAATGCGAATGAGTTTGTACATGTGATGAGAAAGTCAATGGTCACTCATTAGTAGCGCATTCTC